TATGAGGTTTTAAGGCTAGATTTAAAGGCCATCCAAGAATATGCAGATAATTTTAATGCATACCGCTTGTGCCACACATATTGGACCAATTAACAGTATCTAGATTGGCAAAATATTGCATTTTAAAGGCACGGGTAGAAGGGGTGTCAGACCCCAAGCAGAGGCAACCAGAATTCAAGCCGAAAATGGGTACTAATTGAACCGCAGCATAAACATAATTCCCAATGGAAAGAGGATGGACCAACTCCCATTGACAATTATGTTTCTTACTGTGCTTTCAGAGAACATTTTGGTAATGTATTCATCAGTGGGGGGATCCAAAATCTCCATCAAAGATTTACCATGACACCATGGGCCCCACAGAAGTTTAAAGGAACTATTAGTATGGATCCTAAGGGTGACACAATGTTTTACATGGCCAGCAATAGAGCAGATAAAGTTCCAATAATTAGAAATTTTTTGTGTTTGGGGGACCACAGAGAGAGATAAAGATATTTCCACCAGTTAAACAAAAAATTTTCTTGATGAAGGAAGCACCAAAAGAGTGAGCAGCCAAAGCCGTGAGAGAGAGAGTCAATGGACGGTAGGTCGAGTCCCCCATATTTTTTAGACGAACAAGTGTTTTTCCAAGCGATCATTTGAAGTTTTTTCTTAGAGATGTCCCTGGAATAAAGAAATCTAGAGCAAAGTTTATTAATAAATTTACAATAAGCTCTTGGGATTATAGAGCCTCTAATCCAGTAGGCAAGGGTACTGAAAATAGTGTATCTAAGATACTAAATTATCCTAGCGAAAGAAAGACATTTTGCCTTCTAGCCATCTAGGGCTTTAGTGATTTTTAATTTGAGAGGCTTGAAATCAACTTGATGAAGCTTTTTAGAGTAGATAAGGAGCCCTAGATATTTAATAGGGCTATTAACTTATTGGATATTTAGGGTGGAGCATATTCTATTACCAAGAGGGTAGTTTTTAGAAACAAAATGACACTTTTGGAGGGGTTAAACAAGAAGACCAAAGCAGCAAGAAAACTGTTGTAAAACCCCTTTAAGAGTATTAGCATTCTCCAAGTTTGCCTTAGCAAAAACAAGTAAATCATCAACATAAAGGAGGTGAGTTATAGGAACATTACTTGATGAGATATCAGAGAAGGTGTTGTTAGCAGCAACTTCATCAAAATGAGTAGAGAGACCATCTATTACAATAGAGAACAAATAAGGAGAAAGAGGACAACCCTGTCTGAGACCAGAGGTAGAGTTAAAGTAAGCTTTAAGAGTGTCATTAATTGCCACATAAAAGTAAATATCAAAAATACAGGAGCTGGTCCAGTTGATAAATATAGGGGGAAAGCCTTTAGCATATAACCAGTCCAAAAGGAAGGTCCTAGAGAAGGAGTCAAAGGCCTTTTGGATGTCAAATGTAGCACAAAAGTATTGATCATTTGCTTTAAGATTGAACCTCCCTAAAAGTTCATTGGCAAGGATAATGTTGTTAGTGATAATCCTCTTCTTCACAAAGCCAGATTGGCTCTGATATACAATAAAAGGCATGATCTCTTATATTCTGTTGGCAATTATTTTTGCAATAATCTTGTAGAAGGTTGCATAGAGAAATTGGTCTATAGTCATTGATACAAGAAGCGCGCGGGTGCTTAGGTATCAAAGCAATGGCAGTGTGCTTAGCTTGCTTAGGAAAATAGGATGTAAAAAAGAAGGATAAAACCACATCAGTGATTTGCTTATCAAAGACATTCCATGAGGATTTATAGAAATTGAAAGTGTACCCTTCAAGGCTCGAGGTCACATTGGGAGTAGCAGAGAAAATCACTCCTTTAATTTCATCCACAGTGACAGGTGTGATCAAAGCTGCAGTAAGGTGATAGGGTATGGTAGCTCCAGCCGGCATGGGGGATACAGAAGTAGAGTCTTGCATAGGCTTAGAAAACAACTCTTGGAAGTGATTAATGAAGGCATTGTTGATCTCAAATGGGGAATTGAGGGCAGTCCCGTTAAGAGTAATTGATTTAATGAGGTTTGAGTTGCTTCTTATGTTGATTTTGGAATAGAGAAACTTAATATCGTCATCCCCTGAAGTTATCCATTTAGCCTTAGGCTCTTTGCATAGTCCAATCAACCCAACGAGAGTTAGATTCCAAAAGTTTCAAATTGATTCCTTAAGCCTAACATTACCTTCCTGATCCAACGGGCTACTTTGGAGTTGGGTTAAGAGGGTATTTTGCAAAGCATAGTTGTTGTCAATATCCAACTTCAGACTGATAGAGGAGTACAATTTCTGACTTTTGATAAAGAATTCGAGGGCCTTAAGTTTGTGACAATGATAACAAATAAGGCTAGCAAAAGTCGAGCTAGAGAAAACATCAATGATCCCCTCCCAAAATTCAGGAATTTTGGCCCAAAAGTTTTTAAACAAGAATTTGTGCTTTTTCTTAATATTACACCCATCCAAGAGGATAATGGGAGTATGGTCTGAAATGTTCGGGTCACAAACTTTATAAAAGAATAGGGAAATGCTTTCAGCCATGCCCCATTCACAAGAAAACTATCCAATTTAATATGGATGGGGTTATCTGATCTCTGATTAAACCATGTAAAGGAATGACCAACATAAGCAATGTCAAAGAGACCATTGTTAAAGATAAAGTTATTAAGTTCTCCTCCAAGTTTGCTTGAGTGAAGGGGAGAACCCCCAGCCTTTTTGGAATTGTAACAGCAACAGTTGAAATCACCAGCAATAGCCCAGGGCATATTAATATTCTCCACTATATTAGAAATTTATTGCCATAGCATTTGAAGGTCAGCAATAGAGTTGGTGGCATAAACCATGGAAATGTAGCACGAAACATAAGACCTAATCGAGATCTCTCCATGAATAAGTTGACTGGATGAAAAGAGAGAGGTAAACAAAATGTCATTTGCATTCCATTTAATCCAAATGCATCTTCATGGGGAAAGATGGTGTGGGTACATAAAAACAAACTGTCGGCAGTTGTAATGGGGTTGATTTTTGCTTCTATGATAAAAACAATATCCAGGTTGTGGCTTTTAACAAGGTTCTTACAAGACAAGACTTTAGCTGGGATGTAAAAGCCCCTAATGTTCCAAGATTCCATTAGGGGAAGGGCCATTTGGATTTGGCATGGAGGTTTGACGCCTTTTTGGCATTTTTGCTTTTATTGTCCTTTGAGCTCTAAGCAGGGGAATCATGTGCTGGATTGTTACTGCTACTATTGCAGTTGTACTTGCTGTTGGGGGAGTCTTGATGACTGGAGGAAGGTTCTGATTCAGGATCTGTTGGACTATTGGGATGTGTAGTTTGGAGAGGTGGGGGAGCTGTGGAAAGGATGGGGTTGTTAGGATGAGTGTCAAAAGAAGGAAGCTGTGGTGTAATGTCGGGGACATCAGGTTCAGTATGAACACCAAATTAGTTATTAATGGGAAGGGAGGTTGAGCTTGAGGGGAGGAGGCCAGTCCCGTGAGAAGGTGGGGAAGGGTAGGGAAGTGGGTCAAGGGAGTTAGGAGTCTCGGCTATTGGAGAATTTAGGTTGGGGATAAAATGTGAGACCTCGTTCCCTTACTGTTCCTCTATGATTTGGATTTTCCTCTCTGGATCGTCCGGGACGATAGTGGGATCGTCCAGGCCGATCTGCACTGTAGAAAATATCAGCCGAAGAATAGTTCTGGGGACCGTCCAGGACGATATTTGTTGGTCTGATCGTCCTGGGACGATCTGGCGATCGGCCGGGCCGATCTGCTTTATGATATAAGAAAATCTGGTCGTTTTGATGAGAGAGAAAATCATTTTAAAATCAAAATATCTGTTTTAGAGAGAGAAAGAGAAAGAGAAAAAGATGAATCTTGGGTTTTGGAGGCCGCGAAGCGCTTTTCGTCCGACGCTGCTGTTGGAGAAAGTGTAGATCTCATGGTAAGGACTCCGAATCCTATTTCTGTTTTCAAAGATATTGAGTTTTGACCGACTTAAGATCTGTTTTGTGTTT